TGGATGCACGGATGAAGGGATGGGTGGATGGATGAGTGGATGGACGGATGGATGGATGGATGAGTGGATGGACGGATGAAGGGATGGATGGACGGATGAAGGGATCACTTCAGCAACAAACACCTGAACATTAAATAATTAAATAAATAATAATTATGATTTAATGAAGATGAATAAATGGATGAAATCTGAATGAAAAGCACAAATTAAACCAGCAGAAGATTAAAACTTGATTTTCACACGTGAAGTCATTTCATTAGCTGTTGGATGGAGGGATGAGCAGAGAGGTTAAGAGAGGTGAAGATCTTTATCATCCATCTCATCTCCAGTAACGACCAGATTCATCCGCCCGCTGCTGATTTAACTCTGCTGCAGATTTATAGACGGGGCGAGAGAGCCTGACGCATACAGCAGAGAGGGAGGGGGGACTGAAGAGACTCAGGTCTCTGAGACAGTGTCTTCACTGGACACATTTACACCAAGAACTCACATGAAGTCTCGTGTCCCACACGACCACCGACAAAGCTTTTAAAGACATGAACGAATCTGTAACATTCTTCTTTCTGCTCCTTTTTATTCAAAAGTTGAGATTCAGTGTTTTGCATTTAAATGGTTTTGTTTGGTCAGTGAATGAAATCTACTTATTTATTATCAGAATGTAGTTGATGTGAATAATTCTTGGGGAGGAGTTTGTGAAAGTACGACTCCTCCGAACAGAGGAAAGTCGGCCACATTTGCACATTCATTTCAAAATGGCCGACTTCCTGTTGGATTTATGGGGTCTTGGGGTAAAATGTAAATTTCCACCAGATTTGACACACGTGTAAAGTTTCTTGAGTTTGGAACGTGTGCAGGTCGTCTAATGACAGATTTCCTGCAGGTTATAATTTGAACTGGTGATAACTGTTGGACCCTAACAAGACAAATCAGTCATGTGGTCGTGGACCACGTCTCAGGCAACGTTAACTCCACAACCAAAATGACTCACGACCAAATAAACAAAACGTGTGCGTAAGTCAGTGGTCATAGCAACCGAAACAGGAAGTGATTCTGTGTCATCAGCTGTTCAATCTGTACAAAGTTTACAGACGTAATGAAACAAACTGTTGAAGCTGCAGCAGCGAATTTCCTGTATCCAGAAGGTGGCGCTGTAACTATACCTGAATTTATTGTCTTGGATATTACATGCGTCTCCGTCTCTGTGCAGGTCGTCCTACGTCTCCACCCTCGTCTTCCTCTGCAGTGTGGCAGCTGTCACTCAGTCCAATCACCTGACAGGTACGAGAAGACAAATCAACATCAACACACTGAGTGTCACAATGTGAACGTAGTTTTTCTCTGAACTCTGCAGTAGAAATATTCATCGTTTATTTTGTCTCCAGCAGCCGGAGACATTTTCAGACTTAGTTTCCTCTCGTTCTCCTGAACAAACCTTTAGTTTGAATCAAAGACGAACTGATTCCATTTGTTCTGGTCGGTGTGGCAGTTTTTACTGATCGATAAAAACACAGTGACCCTAAAGACTCAGTATTTCTGAACTCTACAGAAGTTTCTTACTTTAGGAACATTTGTTTAGATACATGAACATTTTATAGAGCGTACGACCTGACGATGGAAGAGAGGGCTGGACTTTCATTCAGTTTTAGATTTAAACATGATCGTGAAGTTTGACTCTGAAGTGTTTCAGTCACACAGAAAAGAAACCAGTCGAATATTGTGTGAATCCACCACTTTCTGTTTTTTAGGCTTAAACCTCATCACTGTTGCTACGGTTACACTTTTCCTACCTCTAAATCCGAGGCGTAAACGCATTTTACGAGCAACAACAACTTTAGGTGTAATTCCCAGTTCGGCCACTGGCTTAGTTTTAAAATGAAAACAAGTCAGTGTGGGCGGAGCCTGAGGTCAGGCTCCGCGATTGGTGTTTTAGGTAAAACTACAAATTAAAAGATAAATTAATTAAAAGAGATTAAACAGCTCAGAGAAACCTTTAGTGAAATAGAATTGTAAGAGTGAAGTCGAGTAAATTTATTTCACTTTATTTTACTTCTGAGTCCAAAGGCTCCAAACCGTGTAACATGTTCCTCTGCACACGTATGAACTTTTACAACCGACACAGAAACATTTTCAGACATTTCATTTACCTGCACGAGAACAAGAGGTGGAGAGATGGATGGATGAATTAGAGCGGTGGAGGCTCCGGATGGAGGGATGAGGCTGAGCATGTTAGTGTGGATGGAGAGATAGAGGAGGAGGAGAAGGAGGTGGATGTTGTAGAAGGTTTTAATAGAAAGACGAATAGTCTGGCAGAGAAAATCTGACAGGTCAATTACCAACACACACACACACACACACACACACACACACACACAGGAGCCTCTCATTAATCCAGTGTTCGGTCTCAGGACCCTCGACTTCAGTTTCTCAGCTGCTGCCGCAACAAACCAGAGAATTTCACTTTATATTTCATCTCTTTAACTAAAAACGTAAAAAAACCACACACAAACGCACGCACACACACACACACACACACACACACACACACACACACACACACACTTGAGACTTCTTAAAGTCTCTGCGTCTCTGTTGTCGTATAAAAAGTGATGAAGAAGAGCAGAAGAAGAGCGATGAGATAAAGACTCCGTCTCTTCGCTCTGACTCAGGTCATTTTTCTTTCAAAGTGTTTAATGTGCAGCTCGGACGAGTCTCAGTGTTTTAACGGAGCCGCCGCCCACTCTGCATTAAACCTTTAATGAAATGTGATGACATCGTTAGTTTCACAAGACGACGCACAGCAACACACACTGAGCTCCGTTTGACTCTCACACTAATGTTCTTCATCGGGGGAGAGAGGGAGAGAGGGAGAGAGAGAGGACTCCCTCTTTCAGTTTCTGATTATGAAATTCTAAATAAACACAAGTGAGAAGTAGAAACGTCTCCGACTGGAACAAAGTGGTTCATGATGTTTAACTAAGATGCTAATGTTAACGAGATGTGACACAGAATCTAAACAAAGATGGACGAAGCGAAAACATCTCAGATCGAAGAACGAGCTGAAATGACAGAAACCGTTTATGTCACGTTTACTTAGATTTTTTAAGTTTGGTCCATGTCCCATCAGCTAACACGGAGGAGGAGGGTTTATGACCTATACTGCATCCAGACACCAGGGGGCGGTGGAGATGACACTAATGCTTCACCTATAGGAGTCCTCATTGTTTTTATATCCAATTGATATTTTGGCTTTGTTTCTGAAGGAAGTGGGGACATGTCCTCCATCTTTATTTACAATCTCTCTCTGTCCCTCTGTCCCTCTGTCTGTCTCAGAGCCCATGTGTTATGACTGGGGGGAGTCCAGTAATGGGACGGTCTCTGTCCTGGAGGGGGAGGCCGGTTGGCTCTCCTGTCCTCTCTTCTCTCATCCCTCCGTCTACAACTACACGTCCGCCCAGAGCGCTGGACACAACCTGTTCTGGTACCGCCTCCCCGAGGGTCACGACCTGGAGCAGCCAATCACCTACAGGTACAGCTGCAGTTCTGACTCATTTAAAATGAGGATGACATTGCGCCTTTTTGCGTTGCTATAGAAACGTATCGCTGCGTCAGCAGGAAAATAAAAACAGATCAGTCATGTGACAGAAAACTTTGTTAAAAACTTGTTATAAAAAGATGTTTTACATTATTACGACACAGAAACACGTCGTGTTGTGAGAAGCTTCTGGATTCGTTGGATAAATTCTAAAGGATGATGTCACAGGATCTTCTCAATTCAAGTTCTGTGTATTAGGTTGTTTATATATATTT